TAGGAGCTCGAATGGAGTGCCCCTAGGGTCATTGGGGACCGCAGAAATAACTGGTGGCACGGAAAGGAGAGCTCTGGTCACCGATATGTGCGTAGAGCCATCAAGATATTAACCATTTCACCTATAACCTCTATTTGTTTAAGCCACTGTGGTCCTCAGCCTTAGCTGCATGTTAGAATTACCCCGGAATTGTCAAAGCCCAAAGCCCAAGGCACACCCAGACCAATTAAATCAGAACCTCTGGGATGGGACCCAGGCATCAGGGTTTTCATGCTCCCCAGGTGATTTCAAGGTTGAGAACACATGGTTTAAGAAAAAAATTAATAAAATAATCCTTTCCGTTCTATCGTGGTTTTTAGAATGTCACCAAAGCTACATATTCCTCAAGAAAATGAGGTTAGTTGTGAGGTTCAAACAGGATTCGTGAGAAAATGCTTTGGAAACTGTTAAAGGTAAGAGTCACTATTATTATTATCATTATTATTAGACCCTGTTTTAGAGCCTCCCCTACTGATCTAACAAGCTGGAAAATGTTTACTATACTTTATTTCTATTTAATATATTAAATATAAGTATATTTAATATACTTTAATCTGAAGACAAATCACCATTGTCTTCAGAAGTGGGATGCTAACAAGAATGGCATCAAATTCAGCTGAATGTGAGAAGATAATTGAGGTGTTTGGAGCTGGTGTATATAGAGATATACCTACTTAACTGTAATCTCTCCCTTTCTATCTCTGCCATTTTACTTAAAAGAACAGTAGGAAGAGTTATTAGAAAGAATGATAGAGAAGGCACATTCTCATTCTCCGCCCTCCCTGTCCTCACTAATCCTTGACTTCTACTTCTGGACTACACACTCCTCATCAGTTCCCATACTGTCCTGCCTCCCACTAGAAGCCCTAAACAGGCCAACTCTGGACCTGGTCCTGAGCCTAGACCCTGTGTTCTACAAAGGAGAGATTCTTATTTCCAGCCACAGGTAGAAGAAACTGGATCACAGAGCTCAAGTGATTTTCCCTCAATCCCACAGTAGGTGAGACTCAGAGAAAGATCTAGTTCTCCATAAACCTAACCTAGATTCCACTAGGAAAACATTCACTCTTGGCGGCTAATTAATACAAGAAACCATCAAAGCAAAAACATTGGAAGAAACGGAAGAGCCTAGGTGGGAGGAGAAAGGACGAGAATGAGCTGCCTGATGCATAGTATTCTCCCACAATGAGGGTGAGATGACAGAGAAAACCGAGACGTAATAATACTGAAGACACAGCCACACTGATGCATATCACAAAACCTGAAATTGAAGGAAATTGAAGCCTTTCATTTTGAGACATTTCATCATTTTCTCAGTAATTGCATCAGTTTTACAATTTCTTCCATCACTGATTCCCCAGTAGTCCTGGCATCTCTTTGTCTGTGATGTGGAGGCAGCGGGTAATGGTGTTTGCCTCCAGGAAATTAAAGACCCCTCTCAATAGCTGCATTAGTCATCGACACTTGCTGCTGTGATTAATCTTGTAACCACCATCAGATCTGGGCACAGAAAGGATATGAAAATTTCTAAGCGGGAAAACAACCTTATCTTCCCCTTATCCAGCTCTTTCTGTACAAGAAATATCTGCAAAGTCTTTTCACATTTCTAATTTGCTCATCAGATGGCATATTTTTGACAGGCTGGGATATGTCCATTGAAGACTGGAAACTATTTGGGATCAAGGAAATTGTGAATTCTGCCTAGGTTTTCCAGAGTTGCTCTGTTGAATTGCCTGTTGCTCTGTTACTTAAAATAGCAAAAACGTTTCAGAATTGTACTTCAACATTTCAAGACACCCAGAGGGCAGGAAGCCATAACACTGAAAAAACACACCGTTCTCTTCCTGTCTCTGTGGAAGGTACCAGAAGAAAAGTGTACTCTGGTTTTATTGTTGCTTTATATCTTGGGCACTCAGGGTATCAGGGGTTAGGGGAGGTGCTGGGTAAATTGTTCCATAAGCACAGTGCTTCAAACTGAGCCACTCAACAAAGTCTAGCCTAGAGTGAAAAAAAAATAAAAGCAAGAATCCCAATGAAAAAGCACTATTTTCTGGGTTTTCCAACCCAATGGCCCTAAGATCTCTGCAACTAGCCAAATTGCATCAGTTGTTTGCTTAAGAATATAGTAATCAAATTCTAAATGTACATATATACTCCTTGATCAATTCCAGTGCTACGTATTTATCCTACAGGTATACTTCACATACAAGAAATACTATGTACAAAGCTACTCATTATAGTGGTATTTGTAATTGCAAAAAAAAAAAAAAACTCTAATAACCTTGAAAGGCATCAATAGAGGACAAGTTAAATAAATTATGATTCATTTATACAATGGAATGCTATACAGCACATAAATAGAATAAAGTAGCACATACTAAAATGGAAAAATCTGCAAGATATATCAACTGAATAAATAGAAAGTATGCAGCAGTATAAATAGTATGCTACCATTTGTGTAAAGAAAAGAAGAGAAACACATATATGTGTGTAAATGCATAGAATGCCTAAGGAAAGATATGCAAGAAATGGTGCCTCTGAGATGGAGAAGTGGGGGAAAGGGATTGAGGGAGGGAGAGCAGGAGGATGGGAGGCCATAATCCTGTTAACTGATGATCACAAGACTTAACATATAATAATATAGTTACCATAGTAAGTAATACGTATAGTGCTTACTTTGTGCCAGACATGTTCTAAACACATTACATGCTTAAACTAATTTGATATATTCCTTTTAAACTGAAAGATATTCTTATATCTTATTTCACTATACCTGTCTTATTTCACTAGATTATCAACTACTCAAGACCATAAACATGATTTAAGAATTTTTATATCCTATACAAATGCTAGTACAATATTTATCACATAATAATGTTCTCAAGAAATATGTGCCTCATTCATTCATTCATTCAATATCAAATATGAAAGAAACAAATTATCTTCACCATTTAGAGCTAACTTAAGAACTTAATAACCTTTATGTAAAATTGTCTTTTCATAATCAGTTTGCTACATCATGAAGTTGAGCCATAATCCAAAAATAAATGGCTTTGAAAATGTGCTATTATGCATACATATGAGTGTGGTTGTGCTGGACACACTGGGGAATTCAAACAAATTATTGAAGAAAAGTTGCCAGTTTTCCCCTTAGTTTTCATTCAAAAAGAAAAAATATTATCAAAGCACAGTCTCCCTCCCTTTTTAAACTTTGAGTTCGGGAGAGTATTTAAATGTTTAAGAATAAAAGGTCTCCTACTAAGTTATATGGGACCAATTATAAACTCCCATTGGAGCTATTTCTCATTTCTTATTTGGAGGTTTCAGGCATCATGAGAGAGAAAAGCAAACAAGACCTAGTGCTCAATCTTGTCAACAATTGGGAAATGTGTCTGTAACAAAGCAGAGGGGCCCGTGGGCATGGGAGTGGTTTTCCCCTTGACAAGTCATTAAAAGTCATCAGTGCTATAGTCAGACAGTCTAGGGGGAAGCAAGAGAAAAAATTAAAAGCCTGATTCTTAGATTCAAAAACTAGCTTATTCAATCCAGTATTTTTTGAGTGCCCACCTGGGCCAGGCAGGCATTACGACAGGCAGTTGTAATCCAGAAGTTCATTTTATTAATTTAACAAGCCATATTTTTCAGCACACGGATGTACCTAGCGAGCTGCTGAGCCTGCAGAGGCCAACCAGCGCCGCTGACCCCAGCTCTGTACTGTGTCCTGGTGCGTGCTGACTGCTCTCTGCCCTCCTGCCGGACCCTGCGGTCCCTTCCACCCAGGCCTCCCCAAGGACTCTGCGGAGAGGAGCTCCATGCCCAGCTTGACTGAACCTAAGATCCATTCTTCCTCATGCCAAAAGGCCTTTGGCCTTTTAATGTTCTTTGAACTTTATTTTATAATAAAATAAACAACAAGCCTTAAAAAATATAATTTTTTTCTATTTATGAAGTAAAATTTGCAGATCTGGTAACAAGGCCAAATCACATTTTACCCAAGTGGTGAAGTATTGATAGAAATAATTCTCTAAATGGCTGGTCCTATCTTTTGGATTTGACAAAACAGTAAAAATTCAAATAAAACTAAGGGAACCAACACAGGGTTGTATTTGTTGGGAAAAAAACCACCTTTCATCTGTGTTATGGACTAAATTGTGTTCCTCTAAAACTCATATGTTGAAGTCCCAAACCCCACTACCTCAGAATGTAACCTTATCTGCAGATAAGGTCTTTAAAGAGGCAATTAAGTTAAAAAGAGGCTGTTAGGGGGGAGTCCTAATCCAATATGACTGGTGTCCTTATAAGAAGAGGGAAAGACACACCAGGGATGCGCGTGCACAGAGAAAGGTCATGTGAGGACACATCCAGAAGGCAGCGAGACAAGGAAAGAGGCCTTAGAAGAAACCAAACCTGCATACCCTGTGATCTTGGACTTCTAGCCTCCAGAACTGTGGGAAATGTTGTTTAAGCCACCCAGTCTGTGGTATTTTGTTATGGCAGCCCTAGCAAACTAATACAATCTACTATGATAGTATTTCATAAAAGGAAGCATATTTTAAACCACAAAGGTAGTAAGGACATAATTTCTGAATAATTTAGCTTTTTTAAAAAAACTTTCTATATTGCTATTTTTCTCATTTTGCTGTAGACAATGAAAACTCTGTCAATGACTAAGGAACTCCTGCTCTAAAATCGTTTTTCTTCTTAATTTTTCATTTACTTGTTTGCAAACTAAAAAATATCCATAGATTATACATGACAATTAATAATTCCGAACTAAAAAAGATATGTTACCTAACAGGCCCATTTTCATAGTTAGAACATAATTTATAAATTTTTTATCACTAGCTATAATAACAAAAGAAGTCTTGTAAAAACATATTTCCTCAAATAAAAGCCTTTTAGATTTACAATTATTAAAATTAAAGTAGAAATATTCAAATTATTTTCAAAATACAATTGAATTATAAATTCATCATGAACTTTGGGAAAATTGTTTATTTCACTCTATAGGGTTTAGACAAGTAATTTCACATTTCATTTTAAGTCAAGAGTCAGAAAACATTTCTTGTACATCCAGCACTAATAAAGATCATGGTGTATCAATGAAATATTTAAATACAGAGATAGATCTTTTTAGATAGATTTCTATAAATAACATTAACAGGGAAATGCACATAATACAAGCTACTTTGAATCTAAGAGCCTTAGTTTATTTAAATATTAAAAGAAACATCTAAAATTTTTCTCATTTAACTAACACATCCTGAGAATGGGTTCAAGGATGGAGGAAGCAATCAGTACTCAGCGATTCACAAACCTGACACATAAACATAACATCTTTAAGATTTGAACTAAGACTGCTTGTTGGCAGCACAGGAGATGGTCTTGCGCTCTCTCATTCCTGGAGCAGGGACATTTCATATTTCATAGTTTCTGAATTTCCTCAGGAGTTCTGAGGGAGCATCTGCAGACCAGCGGAAATGAAGGTGCCAGCGGTTCTCATCTGAAGAACCTTTAGAAGAGAGGAGTTTTAAATCAGAGGCAGGAAAAGAAAATGGTTTGGTGATAAGATTTCACTAAAATAAGTAAAGTGTAAGGGTAAGACTTTAGTATGAATTATTAATATCTTACGGAAACTGATTAACTTAAGCAGACTTTTGAATTCTTACAAACAGGAATTCGTTTATATGGATGAGAGGACCTCACATGCGTAAATGATTAATAATAAAAGGGTGTTTATAGATTCGTCCAGTGGTGGGAATTTTGACAATTCACCTGCAAAGAAATTGGAAACAACTTTCAAACAACTACCAAGAGTCAAAGGTCAGCAGTAAAGGATCCTTGGAAATACAAATAATTTATTCCATGATAGTAAGATTTTTTTTACACTAATGAACAACTTTGTTGAAAACTAGAGAAAAGGTCCTTTTCCTTCTCTACTGGAGGAAGTGTAAATTGGCAAAACTCTTCTGGCAGGCAACTTGGCAATATTTATCCAACTCATTAAAATGTATAAACCTTGGGCCGGCCCCGTGGCTTAGCGGTTAAGTGCTTGAGCTCCGCTACTGGCGGCCCAGGTTCGGATCCCGGGCGTGCACCGACGCACCGCTTCTCCGGCCATGCTGAGGCCGCGTCCCACATACGGCAACTAGAAGGATGTGCAGCTATGACATACAACTATCTACTGGGGCTTTGGGGGAAAAATAAATAAATAAAATTATAAAAAAAAAAAATGTTTAAACCTTTAACCCAATAATCCTACTTCTAGAAATCTATCCTAAGGAAATAATCATAGATGTGCTCAAGGGTTTAACTATAAAGATGTTTATCATGATACCATTTATAAATGTTTTTTAAAAATCAGAAGCAATCTAAAACTTCAGCAAGAGAAAGTTGGTTAAAAGGTTTTGATATAGTCATTAATAATTTTTTAATATTTGTGGTCATAGAAAATGCTCATAACATATTGCTAAGTGACAGGTGGTTAGAAAACAGTTTATACATTCCTAAATTCATTATTTACATGAGTATCTATGTAAAATTTTTTTTAAAGTCTACAAGGAATTACCACTAAATGTTAACAGTTATCCCTGGATAGTTGGAATAGACATGATTTTCATTTTTTATACTCTTTTTTTGTTTATCTGTATTTTCTTATTTTTCTACAATGGAAAAGTATGCCTTGTGTCATTTTTTATGTTTATAATATTGATGATGAAAAAGCAGGTTACAGAATAATACATAAAATATACCTCCACTGATATTTAAAACTATTATCTAAATATCTAGTCAGGAAAAATATAGAATAGTTGACAGCGGTTATCTTAGGAAAACCGGATCTGTCTGCACTTTCTTTGGAATTATCAGAGAAAACAAATCTAAAAGAATTTCCATTTGGGGAAAAAGCAAAAAGGAAATTGTTTCTGACTACCTGTAATTGAAACACACACACAAAATATGTACAGTATGATCTTTTTAGTTTTAGATATACTGACATATATAAAAATACACCAAAAGATCAATAATAGATATGTCTCTAGGTGGTAAGATTACAAGTTGTTGTATTATCTTCCTTTTGCTTGGCCATATTTTCTCACTTTACTACAGTAAATACGTGTTATTTTGTAGTTTGAATAAGGTATATTCTAGTCTGAGTTCCCCTAGAAATAGAGCCCCAGACAAGAACTTGAATGCAAGTAGCTAATTTGGGACGTGATTCCAGGAGGCCCTGGTAGGGAGGTGGGGAAGAGAACCAAGTCTATAAAAGGTACATTATTAGGCAAGTTACTACCCTGGGCAACTGGGGCTTCATCGCTCTGGGGACCCCTGGGAGACACTATAAAAACTCCTCAGAGTTATTCCACTTGAGGGGTGAAGGAGCCTCCCACTCCCATTCATTATTGTCTGATGGCTACACCCAAGGAGTGTTTACTTCCTGGTACTTACTGCCTGCTCCTTTGCCGCCAAGCAGGCTCCACTGCGAGAGGAAGCCCCTCTGGTAGAAGCCATAGGGTTGGCAATGCCTGGGAAGGTAGATGTCCAGAGGACATGGCAGCACACCAACAGCATATGGTACATTTGAATTTTTTTTTGACTCCAGGATATTACACAAACTATTTGATTCTAGAATTGCATTTATCAGAAGGCATATTTATTGCATATTTAAATGGAAAGAAAGTAAAAGTGAGATTGTCTCCCACACCGGTTTTCAGATGCCGTGCTCCCTATTTTACTGGTTGTAATGAAGAGTTAGAATATGGTGGGGACTATTTGATGGCTGCTCATGACTGAAGAGGCATCAAAAGGCGACCTCCAAAGTAAATACCATGCATTACATGAGGAAATTCACAAATATGCTGAAAAGTTATGTGAGAAGCCACTCAGGGCTTGGTAAAGCTGACATGAATAATATTTCTTAAATGCTAATGTTATGAAAATTTACACTTCAGTAAAGTGAAATTATAAATAATCGTGCAATTACACTTTGGTTTATCACTCCAACTTTAAGGTACTACTTAGAACAGCCAATCTCTTAAACAACATTAAGAAAATACTGGTAAATGCAGGCTTTGGCAAAATTTCATAGTTCTTATTCTCCAACAGCAACTTCTCAGAACGATGATCCTTCCTCCTCTCACCCCCTTCACTTCATCCCTCAAGCACGGTAAGAGAATATACTTCACAATATGAGGGCATCAAAACTGGCATCACAATTTATTCTGAGTAAATTACGTTACATCTACACTGTAGAATATTTATCAGCTGTTAAAAAGAATGAGTTAATTCTAAATGTAAGAGTCTAAGGAGAAGTCCCACAATAGTAAATGCTAACACTAAAAAAACGCTTGCCATGTACCTGGTCTAAATATTTTATGTATATTAAGTTATTTACTCCTTAAAAAAACCTTACAAGGTAGACACTAATGTTTTGACCATGATATTTAGATAAGAAAACTCAGCTACAGCTCCCTTGCCTAAGGTCACACAACTAACTCATCAGTGGAAAAGCTGGGATCTGGTTCCAGAGTCTACGCTCTTAGCCACTGTGCAACACAGAGGAATGTGCACAGTATAATGCTGTTCTTTATTTTTAAAGCCCTCATAAGTGAACGTCTGCTTGTATATGCTTGTGTTAGCATAGAGAACAGTGTGGAAGGAGACACGCCTGGGCATCTGCATTGGTTACTTCAGGAAGTAGAAGCAGAGAAGGATGAGAGACTGGGCTAGACACTAAGTTATTGTTTATATATGATTCTTTGAATTTTTTAATGACAAGCTCATATTACTTTGGGGTTTTTAAATACCTAAATAAGTATTTTTTAAAATACAGAGAAAATTTCATATACTCTTATGAGAGGGATTCAAATGAGGCCTAGCATTATGCCTGAATCTCTGAAGTGTCCAACTCCATCAGTTCTGGTGAACTCAAACTACATCTGAATCCAAAACAGAAGGTCACAGGGGGGTCCAGGGGTTCAGGAAGCACAGATCTGAACATTCCAGGGCTGAAAGGATAAACATTTGCGTGTTTGCCTGTGTGTGCATGTGGGTGGGTGTTTGTATGTGTGTGTTAGCTTAAAACACTGTTTTTCTGAAATTCAGGCTTCTGCTTTGATCAGTTTGTTATATTATAACCATTTCCAGTTATGAGGCTGATGTAGTCAATGTGCAGACTCTACAAAAGGATCTCTTGGGTAACCAGCAGAGACACCTGAATCAAACTCTAAGGATCTTTATTCCCAGAAGGTAGCGAGCATATAAAAGTTCTCCCCAAAGAGAAATCTGAAGTGACTATTTCTACAAAATCTATAATTCTCCACAAACTATCTAATTATCTACTTTATCTAAATAAGTATTCAAGGATGTTCAAGAATCTTCTGCTTAAAAGCTCAATTCTAATGAAGTGTTGTATCACAACCCTGAGAATCAGATAAGAATTTGGAGGACAGTTGCAGTGTGTGTATATAACACACCTATACAAGATAAACACAGTGGGACGGCCAGATAGACAAAGGAATGATAACATGCCTAACACATATCCAGGACCTGCTATAGGTGAATCACTGCGCTAAGCGTTTGCATGGATCTCCTCATTTAATCCTCATAATAACTCTATGAGAAGGTACCATTATGAACTCTGTTTTATAGATGAGAAAACTGAGGTCTAGAGAAGCTAAGTAACTTATCACGTAATCCAGATAATCAGTAGTAGAGGTAGGATGTGAACCCAGGTAGTATAGTTTGGGAGCCAGGAGTTTAACCTCTATAATACCCTGCTTCAATGGATCTATATGAGATTCAGAATATCCACAGGGCTCCCTACAGATAAGGTATCTTCTCAGGATAGTGCAGTGCCTTAGAAACAGACTCTGAGGCCAAACTGCCTTAGAACAGACCCCTTCCCTGCCACATACAAGCTGTACAGCCTTCAGAAAATTATTCAACCTCCCTGGGCTTCAGTTTCCTCATGTGTAAAATGAGAATAATATTGGTGCCAACCTCACAAACTTGTAGTGAGAAGTAAAGAAATTAATATGTGTAAAATTAATATCAAACAAGATAATAGATGTAGAGTGATATATGTAAAGAACATTCCTGCACATAATAAACACCTGATAAATGTTAGCTAGTGTTATTTCAGTCAAGCCGAAGACACTCAAAGAAACGTCTCAAATTGGCCCCTTGCAAGGAATGTATTGAGGAATATATCTTCCAGTTTGTGTCAATGCTAAGTAAGTATCTTTTAAGATGCCAAACCAATCCTTAAATTTGGCACTACTGTGCAGTTGGAAAAGATCGAGAATAAATGCAATATAAACCAAGCCCTTTAATTTCAGACCTTCCCTGTCTTGCAAAGCTGCATGACATGACTTACCTGGAGAATCTGGATTTTGTGGGGAGAATGACTTCTCCAGGGACTCAGATTCTTTTTGCTCCATTTTCTCTGTGGTTGAATCCAGCTCCTCTTTCTTTATCTCTCTTTGCTCGTTCCCTTCCTCATTTTCAATCTTGTTGGTATGAGTCTGGTCAGATTCTTCCAGCATCAGATCCTTTTTACTTCTGACAGCCCAGTGCATTGACTACATTAATTTAAGCAAATATATAATATAAAATCAATATTATATAGTTTTCTATATTTAAAGTTTAATATGTGGTAACACCTGACCTACTATTATAGTGCTGATTAACAGAATGTTAGATTTGACCATTAACTAGATATTAATCAATTAATCCAGATATGAATTAATTAATCCTGTCTGATTTGGAAGACTAATGACATAAGGAAAAATCCATATCATGGTACAGAGCAAAGAGACCAGCATCAGAGAGCTTCAAAGAATGAGATGTTTCCTCAGAATGTTAAACACAGAATTACCATATGATCCAGCAAGTCCATTCCTAGGTATATACCCAAAAGAATTGAAAACAGGTGTTCAAAGAAAAACTTATACACAAATATTCATAGCAGCACTATTCACAAAAGCCAAAAGATGGAAACAACCCAAATGTCTATTAATTCATGAATGGATAAATAAAAATGTGGTATATGCATACAGTGGAATATTATTTGGACATAAAAAAGGAATGAAGTACTACAATGTGGATAAATCTTGAAAACATTATGCTAAATAAAAGAAGCCAGACACAAAAAGCCACTTATTGTATGATTCCACTTATACAAAATATCCAGAATAGAGAAATCCATACAGAGAGAAAGCAGATTGGTGGTTACCAGGAGCTGGGGGAGATGGGAGTACGGAGTAATTGCTAACAGCTACAGGGTTTCCTTTTGAGGTGACAAAAAAGTTCTCGAACTACATAGTGATGATTGGTGAACAACATTATGAATGTACTTAACGCCACTGAATTATACACTTTAAAAGTATTATACCACCAAAACACAAACAAACAATGAGGCTATGTGCCCTGAGCCATGCCAGAAATTAAACCTACTACTATTGTAACTATTTTAACTACTGTTCCCACAACTACTATGGTGACCTTCCGTCTGGCCATGACCAATGCAGACTTGGCAAATATTAGAATTCTGGATTATACATCTTCTCTTTCAGAAAACTCATGGCACAAAGCAGGTATTAAATCAATATTTACTATGAAATATTTGTCCTAACTTTAAATGGATTCACTTTAGGTGAACTTTTTCAAGTTCAGTTATCCTCAAATAATAAGAACTTTCTAAATATCTTTCCATTTATTTTTTTTTTAAAGGATAATGTGAGTGTGTTTGTGTACATTGTATGAAAGATTTCTAGAAGGAAACACAGGAAATTGCAATGGTGGCTTTCTGAGAGAGGGGAGTATAACTGGAATCTGAAATAAGGATGTATTCATTTTTTATTACATATCTTGTACTACTTTGCTTTTTTTTTAACAAAAGCATGTTAGTTTTATTATATTTTTAATTTACAATTTTAAAAAATCAGGGACCATAAATCAACAGTGTTGGGTATTGCCCATTGACTTCTGGTATAACTTATATTTTTAGGCAAACACAAGGTCAAAAACCCTTGAAAACTCTCCCCAGAAACCTGATACCCTAGAACTGTGTCCAATATGCTTGGTGGCAGTCCTTTGCCCAGTGACAACTGTCTAATTTTGCCAACGTAGCTCTGGCTGCTTATGGTGGGGTCGAGAGTGAGGGGAAGATCAAAATGGATCTTCAAAACGAAAGAGTTTGTTAGATCAGGAGGACTGAGGAACAAAGGTAAGAGAGTTACTTTTCCCCGTACATCCTTTTGTACCTTTTTCATTTTGTGCCCGGTATATGTATTACCTATTAAAGTGTTTAAAATTGGATGGACGGTGGATGAATGGAAGGATGAATAGATGAGTACACAGGGAGACAGAGACTGAGAGTTTGCTCTGTCAAGAATATTTCAAGTAAAATAGCCCTGCATCGACCAAAATAATAAACAACTGTTTCATGAAACCTCATCCGGATATTAGGGGACGCTATTCCTGAAGCACTACTGAACAGCTGCACACTATTTCTGTTACTCAAAAACCCAAGGAAAACCCACAAGCCACATATTTGGGGACATTTAAAACCCAGAATAAATTATTTTCCTGATATCCGGGATATTGTTTTCCTGTGCTGTAAAAAATAAAGAAAAAGCGAAGCAAAGAAACCAAACCAAACCAAAGCATTGATTTTCTGAAGTCCAAGCTTTATTGAATAAGCCCAGAAGCTGTGACATTTAAAAACTGTGCCATGAGATGTTAGCTCAGAGCTAATCTTCCTCAGCAAAAAAGAGGAAGATTGGCAACGGATGTTAGCTCAGAGCCAATCTTCCTCATGAAACAAAACAAAACAAAACTGTGCCATGGACCACAGAAGGGGCCACCGCCTCTGCTACACCCGTGTCCCATGACACAAGGAACATGTTCCTTTCATCTTCAGTGCACTTCTTTCCAGGAAAATCTGACATATCTTCTAATACTGGGGTTGTCAACTTCTGCCTGAGGGCATCACTGTATTTACCAGTTTAAACAAAGCTATATTGGGAAGCAGCCAAATATTACATGTGTACATGGCCAAGTTGGCTCACCTAAGCAATGGTAGGGGCTAGGGTAGGGAGTGTTCATCAGCATCTTAAAGAGCTTAGAGAGACACCACAATTTCTTGTCATCTGTCTCAGGAGCACTAACACTGGCCTCACAGGCAGGAGCAAGGAGAAGCATCTCACCAAGAAGAAAAGGAAAGTGCAAAGGGGTAAAATGCCTTCTTAGAATCTTTTCAATGTAAATGTTAACAGCATGGTGTTAATGAATAATAACCAAAATGATCATAAATAGCATGATCTCAACTATATTAAAAGGTAGATAGATATATTCAAAATATAAATATATAAATATATATGTCAATACACACATAAAATATAGACATATAGACATACTGGAGGGCAATGTAGCTTGAACACACCCTAAAACCATGAGGATATTCAAGCTCTCTGCCTTAATCCAAGAACTGCCTTCTTCCCACCTTCAACCTCTCTCTCCCCAACTGCAACGAAGCATCATCTTGAATCTCCTTCTCCAAATATCACCAACCCACTCGCCCCAAGATCCAAGAACCATCCTGTAAAGCAGTTACTGCCACCATTCAATGTAATTGGCTCTCACATCAACAAATGAAAGGGACAAAAAATGGAAGAAAACGCACCAAAATGTTAATGTAGTTATCTTTGTGTAACAGGATCATAAAATTATTTTTTCCTTTTCTTTTATTTTTATTTTTTGGTGTTTTTTAAATTTTCTATGACAAGATTATATATATGTACAATAAGAAAACTTATATTTTAAAAATTAGATGCAGTCATGATTGCCAAAATATATAAGGGGGGAACTTCTGGTTACAGAGTATATACATCATAACCACTTGCTAGATGCAGGTGTTAAGCTTTTTTCTGTAGGCCTTATTTCAAAATAAAGACGTTAATTTTAAAAGTGGGCAATGGCCTCAGCTGGTGTACAAAATAATCTGGTTTTGGTTTGGTTGGTTTGGGTCTGTTGTTGTTACTGTTGTCATTTGGTTTGTTTGGTTTCTTGGGTTTTTTGCATATGCACGGAATAGGAGAGGCTGGCCAGCAGCTTTCTCTGTGGTGGGAAAAGGATATTGAGAGGGTTAGTAAAAAACAGAGAGTAAGAAATTCAAGAATTCAGGGCCTATGGAGCTGAAAATACGAGCTCAGGTCAGCTATCACAGGTCAGCTAGGTGGCCTGTACACAATGGGTCAACTCTGTGCCTCAGTACTTCTTGCCTGGAATAGAAGTGCCTACCATCTGCCTTAGATGGGGGGTGAGGATTCATGACTCATCTACAGTAAATGCTTTGACAGCCCTCAGTGAAAAGATATTCTGAGACAGTAGTCTTACTCATCCATCCCCTTTATAAGTAACTCAGAATAAAGTATTTTATTAACAGACACCTGTATCTACAGATCCCAATCAAAGAAACACACGGGAAAATTCAAACTGTATCTAAGCTTATATACAGGCACTTCTCATGCTTTGTAGTTCAATCAAAGGACGAACGTAAGAGTGATGCTAAGCATCCTGCTTTGCTGGGACACAATTAGATCACTCATTTCTGTGTTCACAGAGCATATTTCTCAGCTCCACTTAGGTATTAGTTAGGAAGCACAACATTTAACAGAAAGCAAACTACTGTGGAGTGACACAGTACAATAGAATGAGCATCAATAAAAAAATCAAATGGTAGCAGTTGATAGAGACTAAGAAGGAGACTAGGAAGGGAAGAGTCTGTATTGCAAAATAACGAACTGCAGAAGACAGAAAATCACCTGTGCATGGAGTAAACCAACACCAAACAGACATCAAGCCTGGGTGCAAAGGCCACTGTGAAATCCTTATGTTGTTATTCTGCCTTCTCAATTAACTTGTTTACCAGCTTTCCTTAACGAGTTGGGTTTTTTTCTCTAAGTCATTTTCTTAAATTCTGGACCTTGGTCAACACTGAAATATAAAAAATTGTGTCTACATGGCAGTAAACATTGAGACAAATAGAAAAAAAAGTCAGTTGACTCAAATAAGCCATGGATCAGCTAAATAACTATTCAAAATTGACTGGTTATTTTTAGCCTGGATCACTACAAGTGAATATTTTACTTGCCTGGCTGATTTCTGACCTGCTTTCTGATACCATCCAATTAGGACAGGCCCAGAAGGTACTGAACTGCACAGTTTCCCATCTGGCTGGAGAAACTGGCTATACAGGCATAGTAGGAAGGTTCCCTGGTAGTCTGTAGCCAATTGGACTCACCCCAAAGACACATGACCCAGCCTTGGAACCCAGAAGCAATCAGTAGACAAATACCTGCATGTGAGGATGACTGGCAGGCCAGCACCAAGCAATCAATTTGTCAAACAATCAGTTCACCAAAAATGTGTTTCTCTTAACTCTTTATAAAATTTATAGCAATTATAGGGCATAAGACATTTTTAACAGCTCATGAGAACTTTTCTCAGCACTTTATTTTAACTGTGGCTTTGCTGCAACCATTTTCCCACAGTCATTCTGCCATATATTTTGGAGCTAGAGGGAGAGCCATTCAGACCCTGGATCCCTTGGGCTAAAATCACTGGGCATGACATAGATGAATTTCCCTAAGATTCTTTGAGCTAGAAAGGTGTCTATTTTCCTAACAGCATGGTTACTGAAGCCTTCACCCCATATCCAACATCACATATCTAAACTTAAATTTCCAACATATTCATTGACCTGGATGAATTCTTAAAATATTTTTATGAATGACACTATCAAGAGGAAATTCTAAAAGGGAAAAGAAAAATAGCTAGTGAAGTGATAGCGACTTGGTATGAGAAAAAAAATACCAGCTACAATTTCATCACTCTTGGATGATAGAAATGCATCAGCCTTGAAGCTGTGGCTCATTGAGGAATTCTCCCAAAGGAGATTCCCACTATATGAACTTGTGTGTGATGCTGCAAAAGTGCATTGTGATTTGTCCTGCCTTGAAGGTATTGGGACTAATATTGCTCCCAAGTAATGCTTTTCCTTCCAGAAGGATTATATTGCTTAGATGAAAAGTAGAAACACAGGGTTGATGATGTGAAAGGTAGGGATTTTATGAGATTTAACAATCTATAAATGTGTAAGGCAAGCGAACATGCAGATGTGTTTTAGACAAATGTCACGTAAAATTCGAACCCTAAGTTATAACCATTTTATAGCCAGAAAGGCATACATGATACACCTAACCCAAACACCCCAATGGTGATGTTTATCTACAAAAGGATAGACAATGATCTATTAGGTGCTGAACAATACTAAGTATGACAATTGTTATTTATTTCCCTAGGGTAGCGAACGTGACAGGATGAAATGCACACACACAGAAAGCAGCAACTAAAATGTTATAGAGAGAGATGAGGCTTCCACAGGCAAAAGTTACTGTGAGGATTAGAACAGTAAGGCATGAAAGGAAATTTACAGAAAGCCTATCGAATGAGGTACAAAACATGTGAAACTTGGTATAGGGGATTCAAAGTCCACTGAGGAAGAGAAACAAAAGCAAGTCAGAAACAACAAGGTTCAATCCAAACAAAGAAGACTGTGTAAGAAAAAATATCACTGCTGATTTACAGCAGAAAGATATGTATCTCATCATATTTGTACTGCTAATAAAAATAAATCCGAAACCAAATGCTAGCCTGGCGTAGTATTTCAATTTTGCTGACAAGACAAATGATGCAGCCAGTAAGATCTAAAACGTAGTTATTGTAAGACCTCAAACAGTTCACAGTCAAGCTAAATTCAAAGCAGAAATGATGTGTTTGGAGACAGGAAATTAGTCTTTAATGGAAAGACGTCAGCAATATAAATTAGAGCACGGATTTGGAAAAGAGTTTTTGAAAAATCCAGAGCTAACTTGATATTAGCGGTTAAACTTAAGTAACGTAGTTCAGTGGATCATCAAAAAAATGAAATATAAATCAAAAAGCATTAGAATAGCAAGGGTCACTAATTCAGTTGCAGTTACAGTGTGTCACACACAGGAGAATGGAAATACGGTTATGCAGAGGCAGTAGAACCATGTTTATTTAGTCAGTGTCAACAAAAATTTTGGATATTCACAACGTAAAAGAAGAAAATCTTATTTTTGAGTATGTGAAGTTAAGTCACTATTTTTTAAAGATTCTCTCCAGTTATTTTGTGCATATATTCAATAATCATATCGTTAGTCCTTCGTAACTAATTAACCCACCTTAAACAAATCATATGAAAATACACTTCATTCCAAAATGAGATGAAGAAAACAGTTCACATTTTACGTAGAGTGGCTTTAACTATACGTTTTGAGAGTTTTGCATTGTTCTTCCTCATTACTTCAAAGACCCTCCCTCACTATTACAAATCTTTTATCAGCGAAAAAACAATTTGTTCAAGTCTTCTTAAAATAAAAACCATTAAGAAGGAAATCTAAATGTAACCCTGAAGGGCTGTAATTTAAGAGATGTGAATCACATTATAGACTAATTCTAACAAGTGTCCCTGAAGACTTGCCTATAAGGTTACTCCTGTATCCTAAGTCTCATGTCATAGAACCGTGTCCCTGTAGGAAAAAAGCTAGATAACAAATCATGCCTAAGAATGTATTTTCTCTATAAATAATAGTCAATGTAAGAACAAAATTAACATATAACACAGTATTTATAGTGATTATTTTGATATTTAGTTTTTTTCATGGCATGAAGAAAGATAACAATGGTTTAAAATGTCTCTCTGCATCTATCCAACAATTCTTTCACCAGAATTTATAACAGGAATAATTTACAAATAATTTACAGCTTTCTTTTATTAATCAGACCCTGTTTTTTATGGAATTTATAAGCCTCGAGGAGAGAACAGGCTGATATGAACTAAAATGATAGAGGGGATGAATTTGCAATGGTTCAAAATTTGGGAGTATTAACTGAGCAACTTGAGAAGCACAGTTATCAGAATGATAAAACACTAAGTGATAATGCAGAGTGTATATGCTTAATCAAACAGCCAAAGAGACTGACAAATGTAGTCATGGGCTCTTCTGGCACTGATCCATTGAATTTCCCTTCACAGGATTTTGTGGACACTGAGTTATATCCAGATTCTACCAGCTTCTTGGTCTTCTCCCTCCTATTGCCTATTGACTCTTTAAGCTACCCCCTGAGTCTAATCCACGGACAGCCTGAGCTTCATAAATTCACTTCATCCCAGAAAGAAACCTACCATTTTTACCGAGTCACTCAAAGCTTCCCACTGCTGGAATGGCATCGACACCTGGCTCCTTCGCCAGTGGTCATAGCGGGCTCGACTCTCTTCATTAGTCAGAATCTCCTTTGCCTTTTGCAGTTTCTGAAAAGTCTCCACTGGAAAACAAATCAAAAGATGAGCACTTCTCTCTTGGAGGAGTTATTTTAAACAATCAAACTGATCTTACTGGAATATGTCTCTGCTACTTACTAGCTATGTGACCTTGGGCCAGTTCACCTCATCAAGCTTTAGTTTCCTCATTTGTAAAGTGTTTCATAAGGACAAGTGAGATCATGTATGTAAAGTACCTTGCTCATAGTTTATTCACTCCCTTTACTGAGCTCCAGTGATGAGCCAGGTGCTGTTCCAGGTGCTGATGACACAGGTGTGAACAATAGACATGATCTATTTAGCAGGATAGACATTTATAAACATTGGAAAAAATTATGATTTTGTCTCCTAGGAAGAAAATTACCTTTTCTAGTGGTAGTTGTAAGGGAGGGCAGTGACCAGGCTAGAGGAACATTGTAAATGAAGACTCCAAGGCAGGAAGGAGCATGTGATTTAGAGAAAGTAGAGGATGCCAATGTGACTGGAGGACACAGGACCAGGGGAAGAACAATGAGGGATGGGGCTGTAGTGTAGACAAGGGCCCAGTCATCCAGGACCTTGGAGGTCATGCTAAGGATTCTAGTCTGTTTTTTGTTGTAAGTAAACAATGGGAAGCTGTTGGGAGGTTTTCAACACAGGAAATAACATGGTAGGTGATTGATAAATTGTAGCTTTGTCACTGATCTATTTGACCAGATGGCATATAACAGAAACCTTTCATGGCCCTATTAGAAACACTTCCAATGTCTCTTCTGCTCCTCACTGAAGTTAAAACTTTCTATGGAGCAGGATACAAGATCAATATATGAAAATCAATTGTGTTTCTACACATTAGCAATGAGCATCTGAAAATGAAGTTAAGGGAACAATTCCATTTATGATAGCATCAAAAAGAATAAAATACTTAATAAAATGTTAACAAAAGTAGTGAAAGACTTATACACCGAAAACTATAAAACATTGTTGAAAGAAATTAAATATCTAAGTAAATGGAAAGACATCCATGTTCATGGATCAGAAGACCTAATATTGCTAAGACAGTAATACTCCCCAAACTGACGTACAGATTCAACATAATCAAAATCCTAGCTGCCTTTTTTTGCAGAAATTGACAAGCTGATCCTAAAATCTATATGCAAACTCAAGGGACCCAGAATAGTCAAAACAATCTTGAAAAATAAGAACACAGTGGGAAGAACTCCAACTTGCCAATTTAAAAGTTTGTACAAAACTACAGTAATGAAAACAGTGTGGTACTGGCATAAGGATAAACATAAATAAAGGGGATATTGAGAGTCCAGAAATAAACCCTCACATTTACAGTCAATTGGTTTGCTACAGGAGTATCGAGACAATTCAACCGGGAAAGAATAGTCTTTTCAACAAATGGTGCTGGGACAACTGGATATCCACATATAAAAGAAGGAAATTGGATCCCTACCTCAGTTTGGCAGTTCCTCAAAATGTTAAACATAGAGTTACCATATGACCCAAGAATTCCAACCCTAAGTATATACTCAAGAGAACTGAAAACATATGTCCACACAAAAACTTGTATATGAATGTTCATAGCAGTATTATTCATACTAGCCAAAAAGTGGAAATAACACAGATGTCCATCAACTGATAAATGGATAAATAAAATGTGGTATATCCATATATTGGCATCATCATTGAGCCACAAAAAGAAATGAAGTATTGATACATGCTACAACATGGATGAGCCTTGAAAACATTATGTTATATGAAAGAAGCCACTCACGAAAGGCCACATATTGTATGATTCCATTTATATGAAATATCCAGAATAGACAAATCCATAAAGACAGCAAGTAGATTCGTGGTTGCCAGGGGCTGAGAAGGGGGAAATGGGAAGCGATTGCTAATGAGTACAGGGTTTCTTTCTTTTTTACGAAAACCTTATGAGGCAGGTATTATTATTATTCCCATTTTATGGAATCTAGGCTGAAGGAGGTTAGTGTAACTTGCCCCAAGTCCCAGAGCTTCAAGTGATGGAGCCATGATTCTAACCAAGCCTGCCAGGTTTCCCAGCTGGTGCTCTCCACTTGACTGCCTTCCTGCCCCTGCCATTTTCCTGCAATGCATGTTGCTCTCTAATCCCCACATTCTCCTCCACCTCCAGAGATAATAAAAGCTTCATCATTCATCAATGAGATCCAGGTTGTGCCCTTGAGAAGCTCAGAGTCTAGTAAGGAAGCAAACATATAAACAAATCATTTCAACACAATGTGATACATAGAAATATAGAGGCAAGACTGGTTCTGCTTGGGGAGTCAGGAAATATTTCATTCATTTTCTATACACTTGGAGTCATCCTTGACTCTTCTCTTTCTCTCACATCTCACTTCTAATCCATTAGCCTGTTGGCTCTACCTTTAAAATATACCTAAGATCTGACCTCTCGTCTTCCCCTCCACCACCACTGCTCTGGTCCAAGCCACCATCCTCTCTTGCCTGGATTATGAAGGTAGCTTCTTAACTGATCTTCCTGTCTTTGCCTCAGTCTATTTTCTGCACAGCAGTCAGAGTGATCTTTGGAAAAATAAGTCACATAACATCACTCCTTTGCTCAAAATAACTTGCAATGACTTCCCATTTCTCTTAAAATTGAAAATTCTCACCATGGCTAGTAGGCCTGACATGCTCTGCCTGCCCTCTACCCCTCTTTCCTTCTCTGACCTCATTTCCTTCTACTTTCCCCATCTCCCCTTGCTACAGCCATAGTAGCTTCCCTGATGTTCCTTGAGTACACCAAGCACATGCCAGCCCCAGGACCTTGGCACTTGCTGTCCTTTCTACCAAGAACACTTTTACCCCAGGCACTCACATGGCTTACTCCCTTCAGATGTCAGCTCAGATGCCATCTTGTTGATGAGGTCTTCTCTCACCATGCTATATGAAATGGCTGCCCACCCAATCGGCCCCATTCCTTTATCTCCCTTGCCCAAATTACTTTTCTTCGTAGTACTTATCCCCTGATAGTACATAGTTATTTGTTTATGATCTGCCTCCTCTACCAGAATACAAACTCCATGAGGGCAGAGACATTATTTCGTTCTCTGCTGCATCCCTTGCACTGGAGCAGTGTAGCAGGGGCTCAAAAAGTATTGTTGAATGAATGAATGAGTGAATGCTTCCTCCTTCGAGTGTGAATATAAAGATATTCTTATAGTGCTGTTCCCTGAGCTCCAGGCATCAAAGAAATGACACCTACCCTTAAAACATTTTGTGAATTAGAAACATTTTAATAGCATCATTGGGAAAAATAATTAAAATTACCCTGATAGTGCTTAAAAATATCTCAGAGGAAGTAGTCAAGATCCTTTGAAAGAGAAGGCGTTAGGGCAAATGTGAAGTCAATACTGATGGTACCTCCATACAATTGTGAAAATACTGAAATACCTCTGTACCCCAGTTGGTAAAGAGTTGCTGTTCCTGAGCCTGCATCCCCCAAATACCACCACTTCAAGTGTTCCCCTCGCAACCAGAGACACTGCCCACTACAGCAGGGCACCTCCAGGACCCTGCTCCAAAGCTAGACAGCACAGCTACCCAACAGGCCATTAACTATTTAATATCACTGCTGGAGGTTGTAGCAATTAATGGGTTAAAGGGAAGACCCTAAAGATGTGGCTATTGAAAGATACAGGAAAACAAACAAGTAAAAAGCATCTTGCCATAGCAGCTCACTCCAGTGAGCAATCCTTCCTATTGCTGACGACAATGTAAATGTCCTGCTGTATAAATGAGATGTCACTTTTTCCAACAGGAATAAAAATCTCATTAAATTATCACCATGGATGCACATGCCAGTTACTACTAGAGCAGTAGTTGTAAAGATTTACATATTCATCTATGAGTCACCTTCTCTTTGCAAATTACTGTTGGCCTACTTTCCAGAGTTTCCAGAATGAAAGAAGCCTGCTTGGAATTATTCTGATGTCAATCCCTTAACAACAACTGATAAGCAGAAAGCAAAAGAGACCTTCTCTTTCCTGTGAGGTGTTTTTTCCCTTGTTCCATCTTCATCACATTTAATAAAAATGAATTGAGGTTTATATTTGTCCTTTAATACATCATCTAATCAAATGAATCACACAAGATAAACATTTACCAGTTGTGGGAAGAGAGACCTCATTTTATAGGCATATACGAGCAAATGATGCTGGAACCCTCGAGAGATATTCTGATTTAACTTCTACGTCTACTTTGAAAATACAGAGGTTCTTTTAAATTTATATTTCACAATAGATTTTGTATTACTATACCACATTCTAAATGTAGACCACTTACACGATTCCTTGAGAAATAACAAATAATATGAAGTCAGAACCTGCTTTGAAAAAACTCCGGAGGAAAATACACCAACTGTTAACGCTGCTAGTGTTAACGGTTCACTGGCAGGGAACAATAAGAGCAGATCTTCATTTTCAACAATATTTATTACTGTACATTGTTTTTCTTCTAAGGGAAAAAAGCAATAAAGAGTTTTCAAAGTAGGAAAACACTGAGACATGGAAAGATATCAGTTAGCAAGGGACAAAGAGCTCCCCTTCTTCAGATATCCAAATGTCTTTGAAGCCTGAAAATCAATAACAAAAATACCATTTCACAGGTCCTTAATTTAGTCTGAAACTCCTTTCTTTAGGGTCAAAGAGAAATTAATAAAGCATTGGCCTGAAACATTACTGCTCTGCACACACACACGGGTCTAGCATGAGCACCGGCCAGGAACTGTCGGGCTCAGTGACACAACTTCTAAAGCACAACCAATCCTACCTACATCACCCACACCTGGAGAAGAGAAAGGATTTCTAAAAGCCTTAGATTTAGAATTTAAAAAAAAAAAAAATGAAAGCAAAATAAGAGCTAATGGTTACTTATAAAAAAGAAAACTATTGTATTTTGTTAAATTTTTATCTTGGAATGCTGCATAAAAACAAGAAAAGAAAGTCCACTGAATCATACTTGTCAACATTCATTGAGCCTTTCCTGCATGCAGGACATCTCATTTAATCTTCATAACAGTAGCATGAAGTAATATACTATATGGTCTGTAAATGTATATTACTCAGAGGTAATATACATTTTACCTATGAGAATGCTGAGGCTCAGAAAGGTTGCCCAAGGTCAGCTAGCTCGAAACTGGAAGCTAGGAGCAATCCAGACAGACAAGCCTGTGTTCACATCTACTACTCCATTATGCTAACAAATCAGTAATTTCAATGGCAGTGGTTGAGACCACATTTAGTGGACCAAAAAGGCATATATACAAGCTTAATTTCTCCTACCTGCAGTTGCTCTACAGGCTAGCCTTTCACCTTAATGAAATACTTTTCGAAATCTGTCCAATGTATCCTGGATTTCCATCAAGCTAATATTCAGCACCTGGGTGAATTTTTGTTTAGCATTTTAAAATGTTTTTAGCAGTAACCTTAATCCTTCTCCAAGTGTGTAAAGAACCACTTACATTTTCAGAAAGTCTTTTTAATCCAAATTGAGTATAGGGATGCTTAAACATATTTGAAAACAATTTCTACTCGAAGGTTGAATCATCTATCAACTGCAAGCTTAACAAGGGAAGATATTGATGTCTGTGTACCTTTTCATTTTCAACAACATTTACACAGTCCAGTGTTTCTCTGAACAAGAAGCCTTGAGGTAGCTTGAGGTAGCCTGTACATGAAAAGTCCTGTCACTATGACAACTAGAAATGGCAATGATTGCACAGTGATTCATCATGTGTCCCAAATAGAAATTGTTTGCCAGGGACAGAGAAACAACTCAAAGCCATGCAACACTGGAAAAGAACCCAGTTAAAGAATAACCTGGGGTGGTAGTTGTTTTCAAGTTTTTATTAAATTTTTATACTTTTATGTTAGGACATCTATCTTAATATTACCTACAGTTCAGAGAGGCAATTAATATGTCTCCCAAAGAAATGTTCATGAAATCATTCATTCACTCATTCAAGAAATTATTTGCACAAAGTAGATGTCCTCTGAGGCAGGTGCTGTGCTAGTGGGGGGCATACCACTGTGAACAAGATGAGCAGGAGGCCTGCCTCCCTGAAGCTTCCAGTATGATGAATCAGCAAACAGGCAACAAGGAGACGTTGTGATACACAGTTTGCTGCCTGACTACAGGGTGCTCTGGGTAGCTGTGGCACACAGGACTTCCGGGAGGAAGTGATGGCTAAGTGAGATCTGACGCAGGAGCATGACCTAACCAATAAAGCGGGGCAGGGAGGTGTGCAGGCCCTGGGGATGTTCCAGGCAGAAGAAGCAGCAGGCATAAAGGTCTGGAGAGTAGAAAACAGGGCACATTAAGGAGCCAAGGTAGTTCTGAACAGCTGAAACATGCGGTTGTATGTGTGGTGGTGGAGAGAAAATGAAGAAGGAGATCTGATAAGTAGGGGGAGCACAAGATAAAGGGGCTTGTACCTAAAGGCCCAGGAATGACAAAGAATGAACTATTGCTACACATACAATATGGGTAAATATCACCGACAAAATGTAAAGCAAAAGAAGCCACACACAAAAGAGTACATACTGTAAGATTCCACTTATAAGAAATTCAAAACTAATCAATGATGACACAGATCCAAAAATGGGAGAGGGTGCTGACTTTGAACAGGACATGAAAAGGGAGTTCTGGGGTGCTAGAAATGTTCTACATCTGCCTCTGGGCAGGGGTTAAACTGGTTATACACAGGCACAAATTTATCAAGTTTACACTTATTATTTGTTCATGTTGCCCTAAACAAGTTATGTCTCAATAAAAAGGGGAAAAATCAAATGAGCAAAAGTAATAGTTAAGTATCTAACAAAAGATGACTTCATATATTGGAAAATGATCTGTTTATACAAATCAACAGGATCAATGATTTCTAGAGAAAATTAATAAAGAGCTTTAAGATAAGGGAAAAAATTTTTTTTTTTTTTTTTTGTGAGGAGATCAGCGCTGTGCTAACATCCGCCAATCCTCCTCTTTTTTTGCTGAGGAAGACAGCCCTGGGCTAACATCTGTGCCCATCTTCCTCCACTTTATATGGGACGCCGCCACAGCATGGCTTGCCAAGCAGTGCGTCGGTGCGCGCCCGGGATCCGAACCAGCGAACCCCGGGCCGCCGCAGCGGAGCGCGCGCACTTAACCGCTTGCGCCACCGGGCCGGCCCCAAGGGAAAAAAATTTTTAATGAAGAGGAGTTTGGGTTTTATCATTTGTGCAATGTAGAGCTATAGATAGGCCTTAATCATTATATTTTCCTCATAGAAAAATCATATATACTATATATGATATAGCTATAGTATACACATATATAGCTATATATATTATATATATATATATACACTATATATGATGTAGCTATAGTATACACATATAGCTATAGTATACACATATAGTAAAGATAATCATCAAATTTCAGATAGTGTTACCTACGTGGAGGCTAAAATCAGGGTAGGAATACACAAGAAACTTCAACTGCATTGGTAAAGTTTTAAGCTGGGTGGTACATACATGAGCATTCATTATAGTATTCTTATACCTTTTTATACATAATCTTTTATTTATTTCCATAATTAAAAAGAAAGACCACTATCTGCAGTGTGAAGCAATTAAAGGAGTGCTGTAGGGATCTAGGCATGAAACGATGGTGGCTTACCTACTGTAGTGGCTGTGGTGATGGTAGGAAGAGGACCTACAGGAGAGAGATGTGGAAGGTAAATCGCCAGCATTTGGTAATCAATCAGATGTAGACGTGAAAGAGAGGAGGGACACAAGGTTTCTGCTTGACAAATTGCGTGGATAGTGGTGCCATTTAGTGATATGGGGAAACACAGAAAAATTAGTGAGATTTTTGAGTGGGTGAGAGGAGATGCCCAGTTTTTGACAAGATGACTTTGAAATGTCTCCAAATGGAGACTTCCAAAAAGCAATTGAAACTACAGTCTGAAGATGAGGAATGAAAACTGAGTTAAGAATAGACTTGGGAGCCATCAACAAAGAGCTGATGATTGAAGCCACAGACTTGGACAAGAGTCCAGAGAGAAAGTGGGGAGTAAGATGAGAAGAGAGTTTAGGGGGGAAGATTAGGGCAGCAGAGGAGTCACAAAGGAAACAGAAAGAGTAGCCCAAAAGGTTGGAGGGAAAGCATGAGTGTATACCTTCATAGCTAAGAGAAAAGAGTGTTTCAAGAAGGAGCTTGGTCAATAGTGTCAAATTCTGATGCAAGCTCAGGGAAGATAAGGACTAAAAAGTAACGATTGGATTTGGCAGCCAGGAAGTCCTTGGTCTCTATTACAAGAGCCATTTCCGAGAAAGGTGAGGAGGAAGTCGGCCTGGGATAAATTGAAAACTGAGTGAAAGGAAAGTAGAGATATCAACCTCGGACTTCTTTTTCAGGAAGTTTGGCCCTAAGGAAAGTGATAGGGAAGGAGCAGGAGGGAGACAGGTTCAGGAAGGATAATTTATTTGTTTGTATTTTTTCAAGCTGAGATACACATAAGCAATTATGTCTAAATTTATGACAATGGGATTTAAATTATGATAAAGAAAAAAGTATGAATATATTATATACGAACATATTCAGGTCCCTGAAATGAAGAAAACACAGCAAGGTTCTCATCAAGACAAAACTACCGGGTTACAAACAACCTTAAGTCATGTTAACACTCAAGAACTGATGAAATAAAGCATAAACTGGACAAATTTCAAACCATGAAGCAACACATAATAGCAGAAAGAAAAATACATATTAAAAACTAGTATAAGAGAAAAGACCCTACACAGTTCCCTCCTACCATTCAATAGTGCAAAAACATTCTTTAACATTGAATGAAAGAATACATTTAAGTATAACAGATAAAAGAATATTCAGTTACTATTCAATGGCTTTTTAGTTCTGTACACTATTCATTTTCATAAGAAATAGCCATTATTAAATACTTACCAGCTTTGGAGTTTTCAGGATGCTTGTCGGGGTGATATTCCAGGGCTCTGACCTTAAATTCTGCCAGGATTTGTTCAACCTAAAACAAAAATCAGTGTTTAAAATAAGGAGTCCTTAGGCCGGCCCTGTGGCTTAGCGGTTAAGCGCGTGCGCTCCGCTACTGGTGGCCCGGGGTTCGGATCCTGGGCGCGCACCAACGCACCGCTTCTCTGGCCATGCTGAGGCCATGTCCCACATACAGCAACTAGAAGTATGTGCACCTATGACATACAACTATCTACTGGGGCTTTGGGGGAAAAAAAGGAGGAGGATTGGCAATAGATGTTAGCTCAGAGCCGGTCTTCCTCAGCAAAAAGAGGAGGATTAGCACGGATGTTAGCTCAGGTCTGATGTTCCTCACAATAAAATAAAATAAAATAAAATAAAATGAGTCCAGTTTAAATGGCATCAAGGAAGAAATTGGACATCAGTCCTTCCCAAAACAGCCATGATCAACCTAACATTTTATTTTGATCCTTATATTTGTATTTTGACTTTTCACTCTAAGAAATAATTTTCTCAGTAACGAAATTCAGAAAGCATCTAATAAAAGCTCCTATTCAAATAGTGACGTTTGTGATGACAATTTACCTTGCCACTGTATTTAGATGATGGCCCAAGACACCTATGAGCTCAATATATTTAAATGTCAAAAATGGTCAGATAGGTTTATCCTTAGAATATATAAAAGATATGTTCACACATCTGAGTTCTTCAAAAGATGCTTAGCCACCATTTATTATTCAAGGACGACTGTCCAGTTATAAATTAATCCATTATAAAGTTCCTTCTTCCTGCCTTTTGGTCCTTTTCTTTTTTATTAAGAATTTCACAATTTAAAAAAAGAACATAATTCAAACCTGATCATTTTGTTACCAATTAACAGCTTGGTTAAAGATTTTGATTGAGAAAACAGAAACTTCAGCCCAAACTAAAATGAAATGTGAGAGCCATCTATGATTTGATTTGATTTCACTCACCTTCCTAATCCTTATTATCATGAATTATCAAGACTTGGCTTTATTCATCATAATCACAATGACAGCAGCAGGAGACAACAGTGGTTATGTGGCTCTGGAATCTGCTTTGTTTTAAATCCCAGTTCTGCCCTGAGACTTTAGGAAAGTTATATAACTTCCATGTGCCTAGGTTTCCTCATTTTTACATTACATGAATAATATAAGTAGAGCACTTAACACAAAGCCTGATCACAGTAAAAACTCAATAATAGTAGCTATTATTAAACGTCAGTGGTTAAGTAACTTGTCTCAAGTCATTTAGCTAGTTATTTTGAAAGGTAAGTTTTTTGTTAACTAAGCAGTTGAACTTCAAATCCAATCATCTTAACCACTATTTTATATGGCCAAATTCTTCAGGCTTAGGGACCTGTTATTAAGTTTCATATTTACTACCTACTAATTAATGAAAGCAAATTATGTCTTGTTTGAGAAATGAATTCTCTCTTTTTTTTTTTTGTGAGGGAGATCAGCCCTGAGCTAACATCTGTGCTAATCCTCCTCTTTTTGCTGAGGAAGACCGGCTCTGAGCTAACATCTATTGCCAATCCTCCTCCTTTTTTTCCCCCAAAGCCCCAGTAGATAGCTGTATGTCATAGTTGCACATCCTTCTAGTTGCTGTATGTGGGACCCGGCCTCAGCACGGCCGGAGAAGCGGTGCGTCGGTGCGCGCCCAGGATCCGAACCTGGGCCGCCAGTAGCGGAGCGCGTGCACTTAACCGCTAAGCCACCAGGCCGGCCCAAGAAATGAATTCTCAAGCAGCTCAGTTCAATATTGTCATAAGATTCAGGGGAGAAACATTTTTATCAGCTCCACATTAATCAATTCGCATAGAAAATTTCTTCACTTTTACAATCAAAGTCAGGCTGTATTAGATATGCATATGTACAAAGCCCAGACTAATAATTCTGTTCTTTTCCTTGTTAAGCATCTACTGAGGACCCCTTGATAGAACAGGAAGAGACAGACTTGCTGTTAAGAACTGTTAATTCATTGTGCTTCCTCTTCCTGGGTGCTCCCTATAGCCATCAGTCACCATAACCTGCTTGTATAACACAGAAAACTGAAGATGATTTACTTTTGAATTTTAAAATATTAAATATTCTACAGAGCCTAGTAGGAAGCATTTTTCAGTTAACAAGTAATTTATGAATACTTACAAACTCTCTTTGAAAACATTTCTATCAATACAAAGTAAAAAGTAAAAGCCCCTTTACCCACCTTTCCCCAAGATAACAGGTTACGTCCTACAAGATAAATTTTTTACACATTTACATACATATTTATGTATCTATCTTGGGGCGTTAATAACATAAATAGATAAAATTATACATATCTATCAAAGGTAGAAAATTTGGGGTTTTATTGTTATGGTTGTTGTTTTATTTTTTAACTCCTATCCTATTAGGAAACATTCTGTTATTAGCCCATGGAAGCAAACGTGTCAAAATGGTTAATTCTCAGTAGTGCTAACGTGTGTGATTGGTAGTTTCTTCTTTATATTTTCTGTATTTTGCCAATTCTATATTTTAAAAAATTAACAATAGTCCATAGCTGTCTTTCATTACTTTTCATAGTTTTACTGTCACAAAGTTTATCACTTTGTGGAACTGGTTCTGGGTAAACTAACTGGTAAAGTGGGTTAGTTTGCCTTGAGCACGTTCTGTTTATCTCCTGGTATCCACACCCCAGTGCCCAGTGCCAAGTGCAGCCCTCCGGCAAGCGAGGCCCTCCGTGTCAAGGTCACTGACTCCTGCCTTCCCAAACCAATGTCCAAGGTCTAGAAAACTGCCTATCCTGTTGGTCAATAAACATACAAAAAAGGCCAATTTTACTCATAATCAAATATACCAAAACATCCAAGGGATAATAATGACCAGTGTCATTGAGGGTGCAAAGAAATGAACATTGTCGTGCTCTCCTGGTGAGGGTGTAAATAGGTGCAAATTTTCTGGTAAGCAATGAAAATATATATATATATATATGAAAAGCCTTTAATTTTTTTCATAATCTTTGATCCAACCATTCCAATTCTAGGAATTTGTCTAAGGAGATAATCAGAAGTGGGAATTTAGTTATAAGAAGGTTCAAATGAATAAAATGTTATAAATTTTAAACTAAAACCTGTGTATCCAGAAAAAAGACATTTGTTAAAGTTAATTGTAATATAGCTATAGGCTGGGATATTTTGCAGTCCTTAAAAAACTCGTCTTGTAGTAGAAGACTTTTAATAATCTGAAAAATTTTATGTAATGTATTTCTAAAAGAAAAAGTAAGCTACAAAGCATCATGTGCAGTATAAATCCATAATGTTTTACCTCGAAAGAGATTATGTAACATATGTGTGTGTGTGTGTGTGTGTGTGTGTGTGTGTGTGTGTATAAATATATATATTAATGATGATAATAATAATAATAGCTAAGATTTATTGAGACTATGTGCCAGGCACTGTTCTAAGCACTTTATATATAGCATCTCATTTAATTCCCACAACTCTATGAGATGGGTACTATTATTATTCCCATTTTGCAAATTAGGAAACCAAGACACAGAAAAGTTAAGTAATTTTCCCAAGGTCGCACAACTAGTAAGTTGCAGAGCCTAGATTTGAACTCAGACAGTCTGACTCCAAACATACATAAAAATACACATGTAAATATATACACATATATGCATGTACTTATTTATATAATATAGATACAGCATATATGCACACATAATTGGCATGCAAATGTCATACTCCCAAATATTAAGCATTTGGGTTAATGTTTTTCTTTGTCCTTTCTTCATACTCCACATTTTCTTATCAAACATATATTAATTTTAGAAATTAAATTTTAAAACTTAAAAACTGATCTTATCCATATCCTATTAGTATAATATTTTGATCTGTGCCAGGAAATACTCTATTGTGCAATAGGGACTAATCTGATTCCCACTTGGATGGATCTCCTCTAGCTTTCCCTGGCCACACAAATGCCCTCTGTCTCTCCCTCCATGCATCTAAATTTTGACTGAGTAAGATCATTTCAAGCTCCATCTCTTCTCTGAAGTCTTTTCAGATATTCTTTCTTTAATTCCTGTTGCACTTATAGATAGTACCATATAGCATAGTACTTATTTGTTCGCAAATTGCTTTCTGTGTAGTATTAGTTTTGGCTCCTTGACCGAATGCCAAGTTCCTTATACACTCGTACCACGTCTCACCTTTTTGTTTTGCTTTGTTTAGTTTTCCCCCCTCACATCTAGTACTGGCCCTACTCCAAGGGTTGAACAAATACTTGATTACAGATTGACAGATATTCTTCAAAAAACATGACTAGTGTAATAGGAGCTTTCTGAAAATTGTGATTTATTCATTAAAAGAATGAACTGATTCCAGGGATGGAAATTTATATGCTGCAGAAAAGAGAATACTCATTTTAATAAGTGGATTAATTAGTATCCATCATATTCACATTAATTAATTTGAAACTAAATTTTTCCCACAAAACTCCAGATATTAGAACTATCCTTGAAATAAATGCCATGAGAGATCATCCTACATCATTCTAATCAAATGATAATTAATTAAAGCATGAGCTATAGAAACAAAATATATAGTGGTAGCATTGGCTTATAATCCATAAAATACAATAACTATTAATCCATAGTGACAAAAATAGCTGAATAAATAAATAAATGTGAGAGAAGGAATAGCTTTTCTTTACAGAAGAATTCCCAGTAATTAATGTAAAATGAATGAGGAAAATAGAAAGTCACCACGAGGCAAACACCATAGTAGTAACTGTTACAGGCAAGATCCACCAGAGGATGCTAAAATCGGTGGGTGAAAGTTTGAGGAGAAACACTATATAGTCTCAAAAAATCTTCACCAAGATGTTTGTTAATTACAAAAGGGAAACTAGTGGGGCTGGCCCCGTGGCTTAGTGGTTAAGTGCGCACGCTCCGCTACTGGCGGCCTGGGTTCAGATCCCAGGCGCACACCAACGCACTGCTTCTCCGGTTGTGCTGAGGCCGGATCCCACATACAGCAACTAGAAGGATGTGCAACTATGACATACAACTATCTACTGGGCCTTTGGGGGAAAAAAAAAAAGGGAGGAGGATTGGCAATAGATGTTGGCTCAGAACCGGTCTTCCTCAGCAAAAAGAGGAGGATTAGCATGGATGTTAGCTCAGGGCTGATCTTCCTCACAAAAATAATTAATTAATTAATTAATTAATTTAAAAAGGGAAACTAGTAACCCTACAGTGGAAAAACCTGGCAGGAGGACCCTGACAGATGCCACCTTAACCGAGTGACCAAGGTCAATAAGACATATCAACATCATGTACCCCTGATACGATACACTGATAAGGGCACAACATCACTTCTGCGGTGTTCTTTCCAAAAACTCATAGCCTCAATTTAATCATGAGAAAACATCAGACAAACCAAAATTGAGGGACATTCTACAAAATAACTGACCATTGCCCTTCCAGGTGTCCAGGTCGTGAAAGACAAGGAAGTATGAGAAACTGTCATTTTGGAGGAAAGGAACAGAACAGGACAACTAAGTTTAATAAAGGATCCTGGCTTGGCTCTTGGAAAAGAAACAGGACATTAGCAGAAAATTTGATGAAATTAGAATGAGACCTATCCTTTAGATCAAGGTCGACTAACTCTGGCCCTCCATCTGTTTTTTAAATAAAGTTTTATTGGAAGACAGCCATGGTCATTTATTTACATACTATCCATGGATAGTATCTCACAATGGCAGAGTTGAGTAGTTGTGACAGAGACCATAAGTCCTGCAAAGTCTAAAATATTTGCTGTCTCAGGGCCAACACCAGGGTGAGGTAAGCAGGATGCCTAGGTTTAAGGAGGTACGCCCTCTCTTAGGTTTCTGCTCCTGCAGAACTCTGAGCATTAGCACCTTGTTACGTTTTGTGTCCTAAGCACCCTGCTTGCCTCACCCTAGTCCTGACCCTGTCCTGATCTGGTCCTTTACAAAAAATGCTTGCTGGAGCCTGATTGAGTGAATACTATTGTACCGACGTTAATTTTCTGATTTTGATTAATTTTACTACCGTTAGAAACAATGTTAACATTAAGGGAAACCGAGTGAAGTGTATACAGGAACTCTCTGCATTATTTTTGCAACTTTTCTGTAAGTCAAAAATTATTCCAATAGGTGGAGCACAGAGGATTTTTAGAGCAATGAAACTATTCTGTATGATACTATTATGGTGGATAAATGTCATTGTACATTTGTCCAAACCCATAGAATGTACAAACCCAAGAGTAAAGCATAATGTAAACTATAGACTTTGGGTGATTATGATGTGTCAACGTAGGTTCATCAGTTGTAACAAGTATACCATTCTGGTGGGGATGATGATAATGGGGGAGGCTATGCATGAGTGGGGGGAGGAGGTATATGGGAAATCTCTGTACCTTCTGCTCAATTTTGCCATGAACGTAAAACTGCCCTAAAAAGTCTGTCAAAAAATCATTTCAAAATAGAACATTTAAAAAAATAATGTGAATTATAGGATAGCATAAATTTACAAAGTTCCAAGAGCACAGTATTGCTGTGAGGCCAAAACAACACCTACAACCACCACAACAACTTACTATGTGCTAGGCACTATTCTAAGTACTTTATATATCATGTCTCATTTAATCCCCACAACAACTCTATGAGGTGGGTACTATTATTATCCCCATTTGCAGATTAGAAAACCAAGACATATATTATTCACTATAGCCAAGACATGGAAGCAACCCAAGTGTCCCTCGACTGATGATTGAATAAAGAAGATGTGGTATATATATATATACCATGGAATACTACTCAGCCATAAAGAAAGACAAAATCGTCCCATTTGCAACAACATGGATGGACCTGGAGGATATTATGTTAAGTGAAATAAGCCAGAAAGAGAAAGACAAACAGGGCATGATTTCACTCATATGTGGAAGATAAACCAACACATGCACAGATAGAACTGTTTGGTGGTTACCAGGGGCTAGGGTGGTGGGGGGTGGGCACAAGGGATGGAAGGATGCACTTATATGGTGACTGATAAACAATAATGTACAACAAAAATTTCACAATTAAAAAAAAAAAGAAAACCGAGGCATAGAAAAGTTAAGTAATTTTCCCAAATCACACAGCTAGTAATGGTAAAATTTAAACCCAGGTGGTCTGAAATCAATAAGAAGAGAACTAGAAAAAAAAATAGGTGTTTCCATTTATCGAGTTTATGATCAATTTTCAAGTCTATGAAATCTTGACATCAGGAAGTCTTATATTACTGCTGAAATGGTGAGCAAATATGAAAATATCAAATAAGATCTACCACAGAGAAGATGCCTTACACCACTAGTGTAAGAAGATTTGATAGCATGTCCTTTGTGTAAAATCCCATATAGGGAGAGGAAAGTGACTGACTTGGAATGAAACTTTGGTAAATGTATTTGAAATGGGGGGCATGTTGTTTTCTACTCAACAGCATGGAAATCCTCCCATGGTCTATATATGTTATGTAATTCATTTCCAACACAAGCTTTAAATTGTAAGAACTGTATACTAAAAAGAATTATGTGTGTCTCAACTCAGTTGTTACAACTAGAATGAAAATATCAAGTTGCTTTGAAATTATAACTGCTAAATTGCTTTTGAGTATGAACAATTATGGTCAACTTTAGAGCAAATCAAGCGAATATTTGAAGTAAAGGAAATCCATCCAGTATAAATCAAGTAAAGGAAATGTTACACTAAAAACTCAAAAAATGGCATTAAAATATTTTTAAATGAGAAGGATACACATAAAAAGAAGAGGGCAACGACATCTATAAAAAGAATTGACAAAATTGTGACAGGTCATTTCATTTTAAATAAATGATTGTTATCTACACATGCTATGCCATGGACAGAATCAGTACAATACATCCAGAAAAAGGAATGTCAAGACAATGCTTTTATTCTTTTAATATATGCCACAGTATATACAAAGTATGATTATAACTGATAACCACGAAATGAAACCATTATAAACATTATAAATAAACATTTTTTTTAGTCTATTCAAAATTAATCCTCCTTTGTAGACTGAAAAGACAGCAACAACTACAAAGGACTGACTAAACGGGTCCAGAGATTTATTATGGGCATATAAAAATGTTTACTTTATAACCTAGCATGACAACATTTTTTAAAAATCTAAATTGTGAAACTTATCAAGCTAAATAATGTTCCTTTGATTTTAAATAGTTCCTTCAAAAATTATTTGGCAATAGTGTAATCCAAAGTGTGAATAACACATATGGTGAAAATGGTAATAAGCTTTCTAAATTGCTACAGCAAATCACCACCAAAGTAAACAAGAGTAACATATTATCCCTAAGGAGAAATATGCAACTAAAGGAGCATTATAACTTGTGTGTGTGTAACTACCAGGTACCTAAGACAACTTCTTCAGCGTGATGAAGTTAGAGATTTTAATCCTTTGTGTCCAGTATCATATTCTATTCTCCAAACAAAACTAAGTACATTTTATTACTAAACTTCAGTCTTATGAAACAAAGATAAATAGAAAAATATTTTACTTTAAAATATTTTAATATTAATAGTTATATTTTAGGAATAAAATAAATATTTTAATAATTATATAAAATATAAAATAATATGAATATATTTAATAATGTAATTGAAATATATTTCATATTGATCTCAACAGTTTAAAATATTGAAAAACTGGAAATAAATGAAATATTTAACAATAAGAAAATAATCAATTGCAGTACAACAATAAAATGAAATTTGCAATTATTAAAATATGTATGAAGAGTGTTTAATAGCATGGAGAAATCCTTGTTATAATGTTAGTGGGTAAGCAGGAATCAACTATATATATAATATCCTCCAAAACATGTCTTTAAAAAGTATATATAGGAAAAAGACTGGAGATTAATATACCAAACATTAATAGTGTTACCCTTGGGAGGTAGAATTACAAACGAGTTTTCCATAATTTAAAAAACTTTTACAACCTTTATAATTGTCTATGGGGACCTTTAAAAACATTATTCCATTATGGATCAAGTAAACTACAGAGTATTCACACATTTTGTTTCAGAAGCCACCCTTTTTTAAGAAGTAATTTCTCTCACACAATTTGACATATTAACATAAAAGGATGTTCCTTGGTTTATATAATTTAACTGCTCACATAAAATTACATATTTTAATAAAATATTTTAAAATCACTAATTACTAGAAAATTACACTTCATCTCAATTATAGTGTAAATTACCATGATAAAGATATAGTTTATGTATACTATGAAACACTGCCAACAGCAATTACAATAAAATTTCAAATATGTATTTTTAGTATATTTGAAATAGAGTCTATGATGATGTGCCAGAATACACATATTCAATCAGAAGTGTCCATAAAATTGCAATAGGACACTATTCAAGTAAAGACCCAACACACATTTAAATCCTTAACTTTCCCTGAGCAAAAAATGCTTTCAAGTAATACAAGATTAGATTTTTGGGCAATGTGACTAAAAATTCAAAGCTAAAACCTTAAATACAAACTTGAAATATTGTTGTGAAAAAGAACAGCACTATCACTGTCTTACCGAAGACAGTTCATCACATCCCAGGAGCGTGTAGTAATCTTCAGTGTCTTCTGACCTGTAATTCAGTATTGCGTCCATTGAGATTACTAACTCAGCTTTTCTTCCCTCTGAAACAAGAGGCACAGTGAGCCGTGAATTAACAGGAAAAGCCTTTTTAAAACTGGTTTACAGCGGCACGTTCCAAACGGCAGTAACCAGATTTAAGGCTGGTTATAGTCAATACACCAGATGTCATCCTAGACCTTTGAATACTCCACCTTTCATTGGCTGTCGGCAGCAGAGAAAAGAAAGACCACGTGCCTCGCTGCTGCAGTGCCGCCTGGGATCTGTAGTCTGAGTTTATTAAGTGATGCAGATGAACCATTCATCTTATGGGTTAACAAAGACTGTCCATTCTTACATGCTCTCCAAATTAGCCATCTCTCCATTTCCTCCATATCTTTATCTTTTTCCTTTTTTTTTTAAAGAGATAGAAGAAAATTTGAAGCAATATGGTAAAATCTCAGGATTTGTTAAATATGAATAGCAGGTGCTTTTCTGATGTTTCATAATTTTTTAAATAGTTTAAAAGTTGAAGGAAATAGACTAGGAGAGCAGATTCATAAATCTGATAATTTATTCATTCAACAAATATTTATTCAGGACCTTATTTTGTGACCAGCACAACTGTAGAAAAAGGCTTGGTAAACTAAGTCTCAGTTCTTATGGAGCTTACATTCAGGTAGAGGGAGACACACAATAAACACATAAATAAACAATATCATTTAAAATAGTGATTTGTGCTGCGAAGGAAATGAAATAGGTCAGTGAGAAGGAGAACTGTATGATGACCAGAGCTTATGGCTGTGCCATATCTCCTAGGCTGGCTCTCCAGACTCAGGAGTGCGTCTGGCCTAGGGCGGGTCCAGAGAGTCTTTGTTTCAGCTGGCTGTGGCTCTAGTAAATGCAAGTCAGGTCTAGGATTTAAAGAAGGTGAGTGGTCAGGGATACAACAAATTTCACATCGCTTGAGGTATTTGGAGGTCTACTTGGTTATCACAAAATCCTGACCAGAATAACTGACACACAGCTTTAAAATGATGTGAAGTTGCTGCTATGGAAAACAAGGTGGCGATTCCTCAAAAACTTAAACATAGAATTACCATATGATGCAGTAGTTCCACTTCTGGGTATATACTCAAAAGAAGTAAAAGCAGAGACTTGAACAAATATTTGTACACCCATGTTCATAGCATCCTTATTCACAATAACCAAAAGGTAGAAGCAACCCAAGTGTCCATCAATAGATGAATAGATAAACAAAATGTGGTATACACATACAATGGAATATTATTCAGCTTTAAAAAGGGAAGGAAATTCTGACACATACTACAACATAAATGAACCTTAAAGACATTATCCTAGGTGGAATAAGCCAACGACAAAAAGAAAAATTCTGTATGATTCCACTTTTATGAGATACCTACAGTAGTCAAATTCATAGAGACAGAAAGAAAAATAGAGGTTACTAGGCGCTGGGGGGAGGGATGAATGGGGCGTTATTGCTTAACAGATATGAAGTTTCAGTTTGGGATGATGAAAAAAGTTCTGGAGATGGATGGTTGTGACAGTTGCACAACAATGTGAATGTACTTAATGCCATTGAACTGTAACTTAAAATGGTTGAAATGGTAAATTTATGTCATATATATTTTACCACAACTAAAAAGAAAAGTGATTGAAGTCTCTCAAACACTGGATAACCTTGACCAAAAAAATTAAATTATTGCTCCCTTACTCTCCACCCTGAGAACATTCAGGACAATGCTTTGATGCTTCTGAAGAACAAAAAGAAAAGATAATTATGAAAGGAATTTTGGTAAAGCACCCACTCATGTTTTATTAAATGCAACTCAAAGGCTCTTTTTCCTAAACCACCATGTCCTCACATTCTGCATATTAAAGTTAGCAAAGAGTCCTAGACATAGTCAACATCTGCTGGAAGCAGAAGAAATTGGTACATCCTTTCTGAAATGGAAATTGGCATATCAAAAGTCAGAATTTTGCATTGTCTTTGTCTAAGCAATTCCATATCTAGGAATTTATCCAAAGATTATACTCAAGAATGTATACAAAGACATAGCAATAATGATGGTTATCTTTACCAAAACAGTTATAATAGAGAAAATTTTTGAGAAAAAAATTAAATGTCCAACAATCATATAAATAATGGTCTACATACAGTACTATAACTTGTAGTCATTTAAAATGATGTAGAAACATATTTAATGCTTGGGAAATGTTGCACTCCATTGTTAGGTAGAAAAAAGTTTACAAAACAGTATGTACTATGTAAAAATTCACTGAGCACTGAGACCTATGCATTTTACTGGGTATAAGCTATGCTTCAATTTAAGAAGTAAAAATATAAAATTTAAATTTTAAAAGTATGTATAGTATGATTCCAGTTATGTATGTTTATAAAATATGAGAAAGCATTACACCAAAATATGACCAGCTGTCACTAGATAATGGGGTCACAGATGACTTATATTTTATTCTTTTTACTCATCTACATTTGCTAAGGTCAACACATATTATTCTTGTAATAAGAAAAAAGTAGCAATAAAAAACAAGTCAGTAAAAACTGCCTAATGCCAAACTTCACAGAACAATTTACTGACTTAGAGATGACAATTCAGAGGGCCCCATTCAAAGATTTGTTCTTAAGTTGGTTTTGTTTTGTTTTGTTTGTTGCACGCTCTACTGTGGCGATGTAATTAGCCAATTTACTCATCCTTTGAAGCTAACACTGTGCTGTGGGGTTGACAAAGAAGAATAGAATGAATCTTGCCATCACAGAGCTTCCCCTCTCACAGGTATCTTGGCCACTGTCCATTCTGATTGGTAGGTCCAATTGTTGTATCTTCTGAACAACCCCTTCCACAGGAATCATAGTGCAACACTGAAACACATAGAAACAACACTGAATTCTGCTTCTTATTCCTTGATTAGGACTATGCTTTAATCACCACATCTCACATACCAGTGAATTAATTTAGTTGAGAACATAAGATTAATTCGAATGAAACTTCAGCAATTACATAATCAAATGCTAAATTGTGTGGTTTTGAGGAAAAATTTAACAGGAATTCATAGAAGCATTCACAAATAGATAAGAAAAAGAAGGAAGGGACAAAACACATAAGCCATCATAGAAAGATGAAAATGTTCATAGCATGTTCAGGCAAAGGTGAGGAAAATGACCTTACAGCAGAGTGTGTCGGAGAGAAAAGCTTTTAAGACTAGTATTGAAGAGGAGATCTGGAACAGAATGTGGAGAACCTTGATGCTCAGGCAGAGGATACAGCGTGGAAGCAACAGGAGATGCTGTTGCTTCTTAAGCACATGAGTAACAATGCTAAAAGTGGAGTTTTAAGAAGATTAATCTGGCAGCTGTGTGCATTCGGAGGAAGGAAGAACTGGAAAACAATGACAAATATAGTTTAACCGTCACTTTGAGAATTAGGCCCACTTTTATATTAAATTTTATTTATTTTTCTGAATGGGCACTACATGCACATTGTACAAAATTTTAAAGGCACAAAAGGTTAGGCATGTGAGGTAAGTGTTCCTCCACCCTAGGTCTTCCAGCCTCCAGTTTTCTTCCCTAGAGGTAACCACTGGTAACAGTGTCTTATATTTGCAGAGTCGTTCTATGCGTTTACAAACATATATATATATATATATATATCAGTCTCTTAGTGCCAGACATTTCTAATCTTAGGCCCTTACAAACAATGCTGCACTGAATATTCTTGTTTTTAGGTTCTTTCACTCATGTTGACATTTTTTAGAAAAGAAAGTTGATATATGAAAGTCAGTAGGGATGTACTGAGTGCCTGTTGGATATACACTGGCGCAAGTGCCTGTAGTTTTTGCCTTTTTTTTTTTTTTTTTAAGAACTCTGTGATGATTTCTTTTGCTCCTCCTATATCCTGTAACTGAATTTCACCAAAATCATTATTCCATGTAAGCATAATGTAAGTGACAGAGGAAAATCAACTGAAGGTTTTATACCTTTCCTCAATAACCTTAAAATTAGGCAATTCTAGAGAACAGACTATACCTGCACCATATTGTATTATCTATCGTATTATTTACCAAACTGTGGCCTACATTTCTGATACCTTGGCTCTGAATGGCTCCCTCCTTAGTGCACCCCAACTCACAACACCCTTTGGGGCAAGGGTAAGGATTAAAGAGAAAGAGCTCATCTTGCAGAATGAAATAAGGAGGCAGTTTGAAAACTTTCCATTTGAGCCTGCCTGAAAATACTACAGGATCTACGTGCACAAACATAAACCACACATACATTTCAACATTGATATGATTACAGGATGTGTCAAATATATTTCTGGTCCCTAAAGGTAGTAATTCAATAAGCACCCAGTTGAAGGTGTGCTTTATACCATGATGTTACAGGTCTGCACACCATTGCTGGTTATTTTCCTCATTTTGATATCTCCACATTTATTTTCACTATCAGAATTCAATAAAAAGCTCCTTCCCATCTTGTCGTAAGCCTTTGAGTTTTTGCTATTTTTTTAATAATAATGTTGACTGGCTCAATTATGAGATCACATCCCCAAAGTAAAAATGTTGAGTTTGATCAGGCGCTTGATGAAAATGCTTGCAGTTTTTATATTTATATATATAAATATAAATATATATTATATTTTACAATCAGAGGAAAAGAAAATCTTGAAAGGAAGTGCCCAACTAGACAGTCCTCATGTTTTCCTTTTCTTTTTTTAAATTTATTTTGTTGGGCCGGCCCGTGGCTTAGCAGTTAAATGCGCGCTCTCCGCTGCTGGCAACCCGGGTTCGGATCCCTGGTGCGCACCGACGCACCGCTTCTCCGGCCATGCTGAGGCCGCGTCCCACATACAGCAACTAGAAGGATGTGCAACTACGACATACAACTATCTACTGGGGCTTTGGGGGGAAAATAAATAAATAAATAAAATCTTTAAAAATAAATAAATAAATTTATTTTGTTTATTAAACATAGTAATTTGTGTGTGTGTGTGTGTGTGTGAGTGTGTATGTGTGTGTGTGAGAGAGAGGAAGAGTCGGCCCTGAGCTAACATCTATGCCAGTCTTCCTCTATTTTGTATGTGAGGCACCACCACAGCGTGGCTTGATGAGTGGTGTCAGTCAGTGCCCGGGATCCAAACCCATGAACCCTGGGCCGCCAAAGTGGAGTGTGCG